AGACACCTTAGACAGAGATAGTAGATACTTTGTTGTAGGGAAAATATTTTAGCCAGTCTCCTCTATAGGAATCAGAGATTGGCTCCGAAATAAACTCATTGAAACTCTCTCGAGTCTTCCTTCTATTTCCACAAGATGTTGAGCATTAGATGTTTCGACTCCATCATCCACCAGCGAGTCAAATCCCTTCCCAAATACTGATCAGTCGAACAGAGTTTAGCGGTTCGATCTTACTAGTTAAATGGATTCCAGCAGTCAGATCCAGCTTTGGGAGAGTTGTACGAGGCTCTGACGTAAGGTAAAGCTGAGCTTGACAGTAATAAACGGTTTACGAAACGGATTCAGGGCTCCGGGATATTTTATGCTCAATTCGGAAGTATATTAATTGCATGCATCTTTTGTTCACAAAACCGAGGTCATTTTCAGCTTCGCTTTAAAATTAAATTAAATTAGGAAGTATAAGTACATTAAATGTTCATTTCTCTATTATAAACACCCACAGCTGCCAAAGATCAACACATACGATTACCCTTCTGTGTCCACTGGCTCTCTCCTCCCGTCCATACCTTCCATTGAGGCTCTGTCTTCCGTCTCTTGTCCGCCATCGCTGGAGCCAGAGTATAGAAAATCACCAAATCCAGAGCCACATCCATATATAGTGTCTCCTTTAACCGATGGTACAGAATTAGACGCGGACCATACCACAATCACCGGAACTCTTTACAATCCTGCGCGCACGCCCATAAACCTTCTCGCTTCTGCTTTAGACTGTACCACTAAGGATTTATTAACCTCTATTCCCACCGTTTCTACTCTATACACAACTGCTAAGCAGTCAGACACAAGCGAACACCAGTCGCCTGCATGTGAGCGATTTGGTCCCTATATGGATGCCACCAGTGCTATCTCAATATATGACCCAACTACTTGCATATGCAGTCGACCAGGCCAACAATTAATAAGTAAGAGCGGTGGATATAAGGAGTTGCCTTTTACTAAAACTGAAGACCTGATTGACGCCAGTTCCGCCGCATTAAGTCCCAAGTTCCACTATAAGACCTTTAACAGGACCGAGAAGAGATCGAGTGATATGCTGACTATTTGCCCGACCATTGAAATCGCTGCTTTGCGACGTCATTCGCTGCCTTTGGAACCAATCGTCTCTGGGCTCAATCTTTTATCTCGAACGGGCTCACCACAACCTGTTAATGCCATCGCTAATTTTATAAATCCGGGCCCACACCAAGCAATGCCCAGTATCTCCCTGACTGGACATCTACGAGACATTCGAACGCCGACAGAATTAATCACGTCAGATTTGAGGCGCCCAGTGTCGTTAATACCGGCTAAAATAGCTACCCGCTTGCCTCGACGTAGCTCACTCCCCATTTCGACTGTCTCGCAAGCAATTCCTGCAGCCCAATCTTCGTGTCGGCTAGAGGCAGCAGCCGTCTCAGGCCAGTTGGCATGTGGCGTCACTTTCACTATCGGCTCAACTTCACTCTGGCAGATGAATATGACGGACTTCAGCACCATAATGGATACCAGGGCGCAGTCGAAACTGGTACATAATGCAGATGACTCATTTAAATATACTTCATGATTATTTTTAAAGCGAGCTCGTTACTCAGATGGTGCTCTATTAAGTCTTGCATTGTCTCATGTGTTCATAAAACTTCGGACCTGGATATAAGGCTCCTAGGATCTCATAAAATTCATCTATAAAACAGCGAGAAAGGCAGGAGCCGACCCGACATTACTTTCTGAAATCCCTTATCACTTTTGGCCAAACTAGAATGGATACGAGTATATTTACCTTCAACTGTGGCTGCGTGTGACTCAAAAATAATGATAGGACTTAAAATAGATGACTAAGGATCATGTATAGTGTTTTATTTGGCAATAACAAAATTAGCTACGTGTTCGTTCATATAACCATTAGTGGTTGCATTGCTGCCTTAAACGGGTTTTATTGTTTTGTCGCCTATAACTTCTTATCACTACATTCTAATTTCTTTATTCCTCACAGGCTCTATTGGTCCAAACCACTGATGCAGCGCTGAATCCTATCTTCTGCCTATCTCTATCTATATATCCTGTTCGGCGACATACTAAATAGCAAATTCAACTCATTTTGTTTATTTGCCTGATAGTTATTTATTGATCCTCTGTCCATGTCTCGTAAAGTACAACCTAGTTCTCAGTTTATCCTTAATCCACTGTTCGTAGCCTAGCAGCTCAGCTTTCGCAGCCCACAGACGATTAAAGCGTCATAAAACGAAGTAGACCTTCGAGTAGAATTGAAAAAATAATTCGAAATTCAGTGATCAAGTTTCAAGTCACGTGTAAACATATTTGCCTCGTTGATAGTGCTACTCAAAAGAATACCAACCACCCTTAGGCTACATTAAAAATAAATGCGTTTTTCGGTAAGTTAATCCTTCTTCATAGGAGTTAGTAGTCTGTTAATATGAGCCTTACTCTATGTCACTTAAGGTGACGAAGGTCTGAGTTGAATTTTTCCACAATTAGATGAGCAGGTCTCGCAATTCTAGTGAATTTCCATTAGCCTCGCTTCCCAAGAAGAATTTTCATCCAAAGTGGACTGCAGTTTCGACCTAACCTGGATCTCATCAGCACCTAAACGAAATTTTAAGCTAGATTGTGTACGCCAAGTAGCAATAGGATACTATTACGGCACAGCCAAGGACGTCGTTTGAGTTATGCCTAGGTTGCCTTGGAACTCACATCAGCCTTGCCATCCACTGGTACTCGTGGCAGCGTATTCCCACAATGTAGACGATCTAATTTTTAATTTTGTACAGATGCTGATCAAACCGGGGTGATTCGGAATCGCAGCAAGGCTAAGTGAGATTAAATGGACCCACAAGGCAAGCCCATTAAAAACATCCAGTCTGTATATCACCTTCAGCGACCTAGGGTGACGACAACTATTGCTAAGGCTAGCTCTGAAACATGCCCGCCACGAATATACTTATGTTTCTACGTTAATCCGTCTTAATACATTACATTTTTTACGATTAAAATGCCGTGTTAAGAAGCCCTCCTGAAATAATGAAATCATGGCGTAGTCAATATATGCAAGCCCGAATCTGGGCAAAATTCTCCAAAAGCCACGCTGAAGGAGAATATATATTCATTAAGTCAATCGATTTCCCTACAGGCTGTTTTTTTGTTTCTTTTAGCCTACATACGATATCATACTCTAAGACTTGTTTGTTTCTTATCTAAGCCGCGCCAAAGACGCTCTGGCCCTGAAGGCCGCATTAACCGCGGAGCTGTCATGAGGGCTTTTCCCGTCCCCCCGGCATGGAGTGCCCGAGAAGTCAGCCCAGGCGGTCAATTTACTGATAACCCTACTTCATCCCCAACAATTACGGCTGCTGATTGCGTAGGGAGCTGCATAACCGCTTCGGTTACAGCCACCAACATTGCTAAAGCTGGCCTAGACATGGAGTCAGCCAGACTACCACCTATTGCGTTAGTCCTGGCTCGGGCCGGCCGACGTGGCAGTGCGCCGCTGCTCATCACTCCGAAATGTTCGACAACCTCTGGAGACCAGTAGCCTGACTGCCCTAGAACACCTCGAGGAGCAATCCATACTTACAGCTTTTATGAACAGTACTCTCCAGTAGGTCAGCTGAAAGCCCTGTGCATGTAGGAACTAGCGCTCAGTGAATTTAGATCGGCATCTCACGCATGCTTATGCGGTCGTCAACAACATTTGATATACTTGCAGGAACAACAATATTTTCTGAGGCCTACTTGACAAACACCTTGATATATCCACATCAATA